ACCTCCCTGGCATTGCAGTTTGTGGGTCACACATTCAGATCCTTTGCAATGAGAGAGGTGATGAAGATGCAAACATAGTATGCAAAATCAATACACACAAATAATAAATACAGTAGATGTAAGCCAAGTTACTCAAAATGCCCTTGTCAAAGCACTCCAAATGGCTTCTCCTCAGAGCCCCCCACTATTTGTTGTTAATTGTTGGGTCGGTGCAACTCCCAATGCATGCAAGTTTTTGCGCAAGAGTCTATATAAACCTCGTGGTAGAATTGAAGGGTGGATCGATTCCACGTTCACGAGTTTCTTTTCAATTATGGTGTTCACCTAACTCTGTTGGGGCCTTCTTCTATGGGACCCAAGACCTTCCTCACCTGTTTGAATCTTTTTCCAATGAAGAGGAAACCCTAAAAAATTCTGTGACAGTATCAACAAAAGAAAAAACTGGAACAAAGTTCCATTCCCACATTTTTCCAAAATCCAGTGTCCATGTTGAAAGCAATCCCATTCATTAAGTTCAAGACAAAAGGAGGTAGTACAGCCTGGATGTATCATCTATTTACTTTTTTAATGTCTTTGGATTTGAAGGTTTAGGGTTTAGGGTGTAGAAGGCAGTGGGGTTGAAACTGTGTCCCTGGTAACTAATATACTACTTTTACTATATATCCACCTCCTCTAGTGGATAAAATTAGAAACATTTGCTGAAGGAGGTTCAGTTCCCATCTTAGGTTCCCCATTAGCACCCACATGTTTTCCACGAAGATCCCTAATTCAATTATTTGTTTATTTATTTTGCTTGTAGCTTAATGCACCAGGTGGATTGGAATCAAATCTCTCAACTTACAACGACTGGGTGGGTTGAAATCTTTGATTATTTACTTGTAATTTATGAATGCAGTGTTTTTTCTTCCGGGAAACTCATCACGGTGATGTTGTAAGCACCTATCTGTAGCATTTGAAAATAATGATACTATCATTTATACTTGTATCAGTGTGTTTATTTAATATTATATTGTTTAACCTTTTATCCTTTTTACCTTTTTGATTCATGATTGATTGTTAAGAAAATCCTGATACTGCATGCCCTATCATTCATTAACTACTATAAAAATAGGCTAATTTTACTGTTAGTCTTATTTTCGAGAAAGTTGTTGCATGCTAACTGTTGTTAGTAATTACTGACAGAGGATGAAGTATTGGAGAGTAACAACCAAGCAAAAATTATCATTTAAGTCTTCATTCTTAAACAGAACCCTGAGAGTTAAAGATTATCCAGTTTATCATATCTTACAAATGCCATGTGTATATATATATATATATATATATATAAATTTGTAACACTACATGCAGAAAGTTTCAATCACCATTTGCTGATCTCAAATGCAAATGTTGATGAAAGTGGAACATGCACTGCGTATAATAAAAATAAAAACATAATCTTAAACCTCAATACCAGCTGGGAAGGCTAATGCTCCTAATCTTTGTGCAAAGTTAAAATACATAAATACGTACATAAATAAATAAATAAATATTTACAAACTCAAATACAAACAAACAAACAAACCCAGTCCTCTAAGTATCAGCACGGGAATGGAACCATTCTTTTAGCAAGAACCAAAACTTGTTAAAAAATAGCATCTATATTTGTACATACACACACACTCATATATATATATATATATATATATATAGTACACTGGTGATGCCATGTCAGCGGGAGGGCTGTGAGAAGATGGTCCAATTCAAACAAGGAAAGGGAGGGAGATATTAGGGAGGGACACTCATAAACTCTGTCTATCTATCTGTCCACGTTGGGGCTCCGGGGCACGGAAACCCATGAACTTGGTTAAATTTGGTGTTCATTTTAGCCTTTTCCTTCCATGCTCTTTCTATTCCCCTACTTTCCTACTTCGCTACTCCTTTCTGTTTTTAAACTTGACTCTTCCTTTTCCATCTTTTCTGCAACGCTGGCACAAGTGACCTGCAGCTCAAAGCCCAAGGACCCAACATGCTCTTGTTCCGCATCCCAACCAACCAATTGAAATGTTATTATTATTACAACAGAAAATTGAGCTGTATTTCTTGGTATTCACCCACAGTTGGAGTGAAATGTGTGCACAAAATGAAATTTGTTATACATCTGGTATTTTTGGGGGTTTTTTTAGTGTAGTGTGACATCATTTGGGGGGGGGGTTCAATATACAGTGTCAGATTCCACCAACTGGTTTTTGGAATTCTTATTTAAAGTAAAGTATTATATGTCTGAAGTAAGTACATGTGAATATCAAGGATTTTAAGTGGATTTACATCCATGTCACAAACCCAGCACTGCAGTAAATAGAATAAAAAAATAAAAAATATTTTTAAAAAGCATTCTTCTGGAAGAAAAATGTGTTTCCAAAGGGAAATAAAGAAAGACATTAACTATGAATTATGAGATAGTTCACAAACAACAGTGCTTTAAGTACAAGCAAAAAGTTTAAATTTGATCTTCTGAGACATGTTAACAGCAACATTATCAAGATCCATTTGAATATATTCCATTCTATTCAATTAGAAAAAAAATATTTTCATTTAACTGAACATGTGTTCCAACTCCATATCATCAGTTTTTTATTCAAAAGGCCCCACCTCATGGAACCCATAGCACAAAAGCCTGATGAATTCAAAAAACAATAAATTATCATAAGTTTCCACTTAAGAAATGGAACATCACACTGAATACAACCATATTCTTCCGTGCCGATATTCTTCATCACTTCATAGAACAAATCATTCGCTAAATTGAGGCTCTTTTCGTTATATCCAGAAGCTATAAGGCAATAAGTGTCATCCACATGTTATTTAGAATCACAAGCGGGCAGTAAGTAATTAACCATCCATTTTGTCAGTTCCAATTATTTTCTCACTAATCCTTTTTTCCTTTTTTTATTTTTTAATTTTTAATGAAAATAAAAAAATTTTCCATCGCTCTCTGAGATCTGTGGGCTATGAAGGCCAACTTGGCTGCCAAGTGTTGCCCAAGTCCACCATTTCCCCCCTCACCTCTTTGTTTTTATACACACAAGAGGGGTTGACAGCATGTTGTATTATTCACATTATGCTTGAGCAGCTGTCACTAAAGTCTCTGCTCTTGTGGGCAACCAATCTAAGAATCCATTCAAGGAAAGGGGAAGTAGTAGATATGAAGACTATAAGAGAAAGTGTGGTGGGCTGAGGGAGGAGGGTCTTCTTCACTGTGTAAAGTGATGGCCACATGGAGCCAAGGGTTGTGAAGCAAAGCTTACAAATAGCTACCAAAGTGTCAATAGCATATAATATAATAAACTAAAAATCGACCCCCCAACATGACACACATGCAAATTTGGGATATTTGGTGCTCTTCTACTTGTCACATTTTGTGTGCTGGATAGACACAGACATTACACTTCTTTCCCAAAGAAACCTAACAAATATCATTTCCACATCCCCTACACAAGAAAAATAAATAACGGCAATTAGTACGTGGAGTATTTTTCCTACAGCCACGTCGATTTTTCCATTAAGTTATGCCAATTTTTTTCATCTTGTCCACATTCTTCTTCTTCTTCTTTCTTCCTCTCATCTATCAAATGAATGCAGCTCATCCACATATCGCTCATTCTACAGTGTTAGAAGCTGCCCTTACCCTTAGGGTGATCATAGAGACATACATGTTCCCGTAAAAGTACTTAATGTTCACTCTTTCACCCACTTAATCAGACTCTCAGTTCCCTCCAGTCACCGTGTACACGAAGAAGGCACACTGTTATGGCGATGCTATCAATTTGCCTTCTTCGTTCTCTACGGATTCGATGGGGAAAGGTTGATCTATGAGACTCTTCGTGTTCAAACCTCAATCGTTTTGAGGCTGCTATGTTTTCCCTAACTGTGGCCTTGGTTATGAAGGGTGCCTCGCCACCCAACTTTAGATGCAGATGGTGGTTCGCGGTGGTTACTAAAATCATGCTCATTGTGGTTGAAACGAGGAATATACTCGGGAGAAGCTCGACGAATGGGCGGAACATTGACTGCATAGTAGTAACTGGCGTGATGTGAGAAACGTAGTGGTTTCCGACGAAGTTCATGCTTTCAGTGAGCTAACTTACAGATACTGCGCCCCATGGAGCACCTGTGATTATCTACGCAGTGATGACACAATTCTACCTTACTGTTCAACATGTCGGATGGGAATAGGAATCAGCCAATGCCTCTACGTGAAACAACAATGATTTAGCAAAATTGAAATAAATAAAAATAAAATGACAGATTCGATCTTCTTTGAGTGCTGGAAATCTTTTCGAAAACCCGAAGAGAGTAGAAGGCCAATTGCAAAAATCAAAACATGAAAGTCTGAAAGGAAGAACAGCGATTGGCAACGCATTCAAATAAACGAACGTGGGAATTATCAAATAAAGTCTTTTAGGAAAAGTGCAACGCAAAAGTGGAATTCGATACTTGCTTGTTCACGAACTAAGTATAACGAGAGAAACCTACACTGATTACAATCAGGAGCATTAGGCTGAGCTGTGATAGGGAACATAATACATACCAGTCACAGATCCCTGTTTCGGGAGCTTCACAGAGGAATGTTGACGAAATGAGATGGACAGGACATGTAGACGACGAGCTTATACGGATGGGGATCGACTTCGTGGTTGGTGATCATCCCTATCCATGCTAGCCTCGCCATGGATTCTTCAGAGACGAAACCTTGAAACCCTCCAAATGTTGAGCCGGATGTTGATTACCAGTTTGTGAAGATGCTGGATTATCTAGAAGGGCATCCAAGCTGGATTCAAGCCAGCACAGCTTGAAAGATTATAGCGAATTACCTCTCTAGGCATGCATGGGGCTTAAGCGGAAATTCCATGCAGCAGACTAGTAGCCGAACGTCAAGAGCTTGGCCATATACACATTGTGGCTTGCTAATTCCACAGCAAGTGAGTCAGATTGTCAAGCTGCAAATGCATGCGCAACTTTCAATCATGTAAATATTCACACCTTTTACTCTATAAACCATATTGATCACAACAGATACGGCAGCGCCTGTATTATTTTGTCCAGTTTCTAGCTGGAAAAAACACTTGTGCCGGAATAGACAAGAGAAGAATGAAAGGCATTATGAATTGAGAATAGGACGGCAAGGTTTACAGATCTAATAAAACTACAAAGAGCAGGACTCATTCCTGTAAAACTGTTAAATTTATATACACCTACCAACTGATATCGGCACATGCTTTAAAAACTAGAATCATAAGATCGAGGCTGTTTAGAAACGGGCGATGCGAAAGAACCAGGGAACCATGAATACCACAATCATGGATGCGAGCAGTGAGTTCCTGATAAGCTGATTCGCCCACATGTACCTAGCAACACAAGAAGATACAATCGTTAAAGGCTTGCAAATCTTTTAAGATTGTGATTAGGTTTCAATAATAATGTGGCCACAAACATCAATTTCTGCAGAGATTTGCCGACATAAACATCAAAGACAATTAACGTTGCAAGATGAGAAGCAAGTTCAACTGGAATCGTATTCTTACATTAACGAACCGAAACATTCTGAAACAACATTAAAACACCATTCGGGAAGGTTTCAATAGGAGCAAACAAGCAGGGTGAAGCCTCGGACTAGGACTTACGCACTACGAGTGCCGATTCTTCCTGATGTGGACGTGCTTGGACGACGCTAGCTACAATCAATCGTAGATACATGGAGAGGAAAACATAAAGCTAGAACCAACGTAATATTACCATACTTCAACTATACTTTTCATTGTGTATCGTGCTTTTTAGGAGAAGGGATACATACCCTGTGCACAGAACTAGTACTTTTGGTTGGTGTAACCTTGTTAAGTTCCCAAAGTTCTAAAGCCAAAACCTTGCTACACGGCAGTATAAGTAAATGCCCTGGGAACCACAGGCGCTTCTGATGTCTAATACCTCGACCTATCTCACTACGGTTTATGCTTCAGCCGCGCTACAAACCTTGTAGAATATGGATTGAGATTCATGATACTAATCTTGCTAACATTTCGAGAAAGTAGTCACACATGACTAGAGACATTTCTATGTTAAAACCGAGAACGAAAATTTGATATGACGACCAGGTGCTCTAAAAAAAAAGCTCAAAAATAGAAGCGCAACGAATTGTGAAAGAGAGGTTTCCTCTATCGATGGAAACTGAACAAACTTAAGCCTCACAAGACGAAAAAAGAAGAAAAGGAAACAGTGCAAATTAAAATAAGGGAGGGCTTGAGGATGCAACTGTTTTGATGCTCCTTACACCAGTCTTTCCATGAAGGTTTATAGCATCATTTAAGTAAATACAAATTAAAATAGAAAAAAAATAAGCTTGTGATATAGCAACACTTAATTCCAATCAGTCAATGAGAATACTAACCAAAAAACACAAAAAGAAAAAAAGAAAAGAAAGAGAGAAGTTTTTCGCACCAGCCAGCGCTTCAAGCCATACCTAAGTCTCGACATAGCTGTAGATCTGACAAACACTCGGTGTGTGTGTACGCTGGTTCCGTCAGCTTCTAGGCGAGCTGAAGTACTTTCCACATGGTCAGGTATGTGCACATTCTTCGCCGTTTCGCCACAAATCTCGCACACTGTGTTCCCACGGATCTTGAACCATTCCTCCGCGCAGTTGCGGTGGCAGAGAGCAAGGTCTTGTTTGCAGGCACAGCCTAGCACAATACTCTCGCAGTTGCCAGAGCTGAACCCCAGATGACAAACCCGGCAAACTGTCTCTCCATCAGCGGCGTCATCCTTGGAGGCATTACTCAGATGCTTGTTTCCCGTTTTGGAACCCAATTCAACGTCATCACCCGCAGAGCCATATTTGGAATTCACATTCTTCAAGTCCGAACCTTCTCCACCCGTTCCTCCCACCCGAGGGGTAGGATGCTCTTCCAGAGTTACAACAACGAACTCTCCATTATGGTTGCGTTCAGAGTTAAGAGGTGCTCTTGCCTCAATCTGTGCAGGCGGTGTGTTGATGAAGGCTGGTTCCAGAGCATCCACAATTGCCTGGTCACCACGAAAAGAAGCTCTTCCAGAGGCTTGTAATGGCAACAGCTGCGTAGGATGAGTCATTGTCACTGCAATTTGCTTTCATCTGAAGAAGACGTTACGTTTTCCATAATAGAGTCCTACTCATCTGCTCCATGCAAAGCTCTTCACATCTAAAGACATCAAGTGGCTGGGGCGTAATTAACTACGTTCAAAACCTGCTCGTAAGGCTTATAATTTTACTTCGCATTGTCGCATCCAATCGAGCTGCCGATATCAGATTATCTCAACCTCAACCTCCTTTTAACCATGGGGATGCACCAGACTCCACCAAAATACGAGGCAGGTAGGCCCTTGACTCGCTTACAACCCTAGATATGAGCCCTGCGCCAGAGCAAGTCGACAACAGAACAAGCCAAAATAAAAAAATCCGCGCACAACTTATTCGACGTAGACCAAATTAGGCATTTCATTCATACTTCCAGAGACCCATGATTATGAAGTGTTCACGCTCTGCCCTATAAATGAAAGAACACTCAAACCACAAAGGGATACAATTCCAGTTCGATATTGGGAGTTGCATTACGAACCAGCGACCATTCTCACAACCAACACAAAGCTTCAAATTTCAGAAACTACTCACCACGTTCAAACACCCGTAATAGATGCCAATGCTCAACTCTTGCGCCTCGAACCCTAAAAGCTATCCCTAATCAACGCTGGTGACCACCCACGAGAGAATGAGATATGACCGCTTCGGAAGCAACCACTGAACCTTTTTCACTCCCTCATGAAATCTACAGCCATGAACTAAAACGGGCAATCATCTCATCAGCTGAATAAAAGATGCATCAACCCACGGGACATTCTTATCTTCTACCCAGAGCCTTTCTGGTCCAGATCGGCTACCCACGTCCTTGCCTCTAATCCCAATTCTAAACCCTTCACACCCACAGTCCGAGGTTGCAAAAATGCCCACAAACTCCACTCAAAATTCTTCAAAAACATGAACAAAATCCTGGCACTCCACCTCCGAACCCGGATTAGGACATACAAAAAATCTCCTTGCCGGGCCGCCTGGCTAAAATAAGCGCCAGCAACAGAGCAGCGCCTCAGGAACGACTTGCCAAACCGCGTTTGCAAATGGAATCCGGCAGAATCCGCGACTTGCGATTGTAAGTAGATTAAAGTGGGGTCGGTTCTCCCGCTGACAGTGTCGAGGAGAGAAATTACCTCGGAGCCTTCGTTCGTGGGAGATTGAAAAATGTTACACGTGAGAACTTTCTGAACTAAATTTTTACCCCCCGTTTTTCCGCACACAGTGTTTTTCCGTGATATTCGGGCATGAGATGGGTGAGCACCGATAGCAGCTGGAGCGAGGCGACTGCCACGCCTTTCAATTGGGGCTTTTCTGCTCGGAAACTTAGTACAATAGTCGTCACGATCTTCAAGAGCTGATCACGCCGGTGCTTTGCAGAGCATGACGTAGTCTCGTGAGGCTGGTCTGCGTCCAGATAAATTAGCTCTACACCGCTTCCAGAGCAGTGACCGATGACGACAACGACGAGGATCTATCAGAAACACCAACATGGGAGCTCATCATCTTTGACGGAGCCCTTCTTCACTGTGGCAACTAGCTCAAACGAGTGCAAGTATCCCACAAGGCTTAACTTAGCCCACATTGTCGACAACACTGTTCTCGACACATGATGCAAAATGGGGGTTCAGATCCAAACCCATTCCTCCTGATGTTGAGGAATCTTCGACAACTTTGCATGCCTCTCACAACCAAAAGTCACGAAGCCTCTCGTCACCGCACTTGCTCACAATCAAAGTAGAAAATGCAGTCTCCGCCGACCTTAAGTCCTGCAATTATTAAGCCATTCTTGAGTGTGGACATTGATCCGTTCAGACAGGAACTTTGAGCATCAACGGCGACTAAGACTGATTTTGTACATTAAAAAAATAAAATCGCATCAGTTAAGACAACGATGTTTGCGCAACTGAGGGACTGATAAAGCTTTCAGTGAAGGAAGGTAAGTTTCTGATGTATAGTTAGTTATTCTTCTTCTTTTCTGATGCATAATTCCCATGGTGTAGAAGCTGAAAATGCAGCAAGCTTCGAACAATTACGCGTTGTGTCCACCCTAGTGCCGAAGTCAACGCCTCTTACGCTGACATTTGTAAATGTCGGTGAATCTACCCACCATCGATTTATTTATTTATTTTAGTTAGTTTAGTTTTGTTTTGTTTTCACAGAATTGGGAAATATCCTGTCACATTAATCAAAAGATGAAAACAAACCAAAATAAACTAGGTTGTAATACCTGGTTTGGACCTGGTTTAGAATTAGATAACATCCTAATATTCATGACACTTGTAATCTACATGACACTCCTAATCTATCATGAGGATGATGAGACCGTTGTAAATAACTCTTTTGAAAAATGAATTTTCATCCCATCTTTAAAATCTAATATATCTTTTGCTAGTCAAATTTTATTCCATCTATCTAGTAAAAGTTTTGTTTCAATTGGGAGTTTTAAGATGTTTTTGTAAGTAATTTTTATGAATCTATCATTTTGGAGGTTAAACAAAATTATTTGTTTTATTTTATTATTACTTCATATATCACCTTTAAATATCAAAGCGGTTTTTTCTTAGATTTCAATTACCAAGAAGCAAATTCCTCTCAATTTTTTTTATATGACTCAAACCTTTAAAATTTAGAAGTGTACATAAAAGTCAAAAGTGCTTGTTGCTATGTGAAATCCTTCTAAGAATCATACATGCATAGATAGGCAACCATTTTTGTATAAAATTGGTCCAAGCTTGTACTCATTGTGCTTGATTATATTTCTAAAATCTATGGAGAATTATCTTATTATTTCTAGATATATAAAGAATGTAACAAAAAGAGATTTGTGTACTAGCTTGTACTATCTATGCATTGACTACCACACCTTTATGCTAGATGAGTTATATTAGCATGACTTTCTTCTTCCTTGTAAATTTGATTCAAGTTTTTTTTTAATCAAATTAGAAGTTAATTTTTTCATTTAGATAGTATAAGATCTCATTAAGGTTGAAAATATCTTAAGAACTCTTTGCCAAAACTTGCAAAGTATAATATTAACTTTGGACCTATATTTTAATTGGAAGATGGTAGGTAAAAAATAAATTTAGTCTTATGACCATTAAATAATCTTAGTATATTTATTCCTTGTTTTTTGGATTTTGTTATGTTGGCAATTTTTACTACTTTGGCAAATCCAATTATCTTATTACATGGTTCATTATTCATATTTTACCTTCTTTGAGCCAATAAAAAGAAAAATTTATTATTAAAATATAAGATTTTTCATAGCATTCAAACTTAATAAACTAGTGATATAAAAGGCATGAGAATTGAAAACTATTCATCATTTTCAACATCTTGTGTTGAAGTTTAGAATAAAAAACTAATATTGAGTTGAAACTATCATCATATTTATAAATCTTTATCTAGTCTTTTGATTTTGGAATTTATACATCCATAATTAATTATTGATGTTAATGTTTAATAAGATATAATAGAGTTTCAATATAGAAGGTCTTTTGGCTAAAATTCAAATACTAAATTTACTTCTTCTTTCATAAAGAATCATTAAAGATTATAATTTAATATATTTTTAATATACTATATTTAATTAATATGAAGAGAGTTATGGTTCTTTGAAGTTGGATACTCTAATCAATAACTAGTATTTAAGGATTCTATTAAAGCAATTTATTACAAATGCTATAGAATAAAATTTTACATTCTAAATATAAATAGAGAACTATTTTGGTCTATGTTCTCTCTATTCTAGACTAATTCTTTGATTCTAAAGTCGATTTTTGATTGGAAATTAAAATCTATTCAAAATCTAGCCACCACTTTGCTAGAATTAGTTGTGTAGCTTTAATAGTTTTTTTTTATTAAAATTTGGATGTTAAATTCTCCTTATTTTTACTATCTATTTGCATATTAAGTCAATTATATATTTTTTTAGATCAATTAGTTCTAAATCTTTTTTGTCTTTGGATTTGTAAGATATCTTTTAGGCAAATTTGATCCTTATAAGTTGTTATGTATAACTTTGTAAAAATTCTTAATAATGGTGTTGAATTTGTAGATGACTTCGACAAAGCTTGCTTATATATTGTCACGGACCAAAAATACAAACAAGAAATCTAAACAAGAAGTTCAAGAAGAAATGACAAGAACTAGATTATCAGATGAGTACAAGAGCAACGCCAAGAGAATTGAGCTAGAGTTTCAAGAGATGTGTTGTCGAGACTGAAGAACTCTTCAGCCTCGACTCCTATATATACTACTGGCCTATGGTTCTAAGGAAGCGCATCAAGAAGCTTCCCAAGAACTATGAAGCTTCTCGAGCAATTACCCAAGAGCTAGGAAGCTTCTCAAGTAACTTCCTAGAATCTACTAGAATATTCTAAGAATCTTCTAGAGCCTTCTAAGGGAATCTTTAGGGAATCTTAAAAGAATCTTTAGAGAATCTTTGAAGAATATTCTAAGAGAATATTCAAGGAATCTTCTGGAAGTTTCTAGAGACTTCTTTCTAGAAGGTTCTAGAAACTTGTCTCTAGAAAGGTCTAAAGACTATGTCCCTAACATCACCTCCTCCTTTAGCTTTGAGGTCTCCGAGAAGCAATGTTATCGTCAGTCAATACCAACGCAAGAAAATGAAGATCTGTCGCATAACCTCTGCTATGAACTCCAATTGTTGTTCACGAGGCAAGTGATTCAATGGTCCTTGAAGCCAACGGTAGTGGCCCACGCATTCAACTTCTGACGAAGCATGAACCTCCGTGTCGTCATTGTGAAATTGTCCTGCAAACACTCCTTCTGGCTGACCATTGTAGGCAGGCTCGACCTCAAATACAATCACCAGCGATCTATTGCTCGGAATCCTTTGACGTCGTTGTGGTGCAGGCGGTTCTTCATCTCGTGGTCATCTTCGTGAGCTAGTTGCTTGAGATGACATGACAAGTGTAGTATCTTGGCTATCCATATTCAAAGGCTAAAACAATAAGAACAAACTTGGGCTACTAACAAAGCTCTACGCTATCTTGGAGAGAATGACTACATCAACTATGGATTTTGGTGGTGCTCTCTCCTCTTTTCTGTTTTCTGGATGAGCAAGCTTCAGTAAGAAGCTATCGTCGAACCGGCTTGGGTTTCTCAAGATATCGTCGATGAAACTCCTGTACCTTTTGTGGCGCATTCGCGAGATTTTTGGCCAGCTCCCATGTTCGTTCATTAATATCGTAACCGCTCCAATGCACAAAGTATTCTAATTTACCCCGTCTTTGCCGTGAATCCAAGACCTTTTCCACCTCGTATTCTTCGTGGTTCTCTATTTCTATGCTAGGTGGTGGACATTGTACTCTTCCAGGAAAAGACGATTCTCGATAAGGCTCCAACAAAGAAACATGAAAGACAGGATGTACCTTCATAGTAGCTGGTAACTCCAGACGATACGCTATAGGATTGATCTGCTTCTGGATAACAAATGGTCCCAATCTCCGATAGTCCAATTTGTCACATGGCCGCTTGGTCTTAATATTTCGTCGAAGTAGCCAAACTTTGTCTCCAATTGTGAATTTAGGTGCCTGATTCCGAAATTTGTCTGCAGACGCCTTGTAAGATTCTTGGGCAGTTTGCAATTGAAGCTTCAATGTAGTTTGAAGCTGCGAAAGCTCCTTCACCAATCCTTCAGCTGCCAGATTGTTAATCGTTGACGAACTCCATAAGTCAAGCTTTGGATGGTATCCATAATTGGAAAAGAATGGCGTTTGTTGAGTTGACGCATGAAGGGTGTTGTTATATGCGAACTCGGCTAGCAGTAGATATGCGACCCAATCATCTTGTTGATAGTTGATGGTGCAACGTAAATATTGCTCTAAAACTTGATTCACCCGTTCTGTTTGGCCATCCGTTTGAGGATGAAATGCCGAAGAAAGCTTGATATCCACCTTCAATATTTCAAAAAGGGATTTCCAAAACTTTGACACAAACTGGGTTCCTCGATCCGATACGATATCATCTGGTAGACCATGATATCGATACACATTATCAAGAAAGAGTCTTCCTGTGTCTTC